GAGATCATGACACTGCACTCCAGCCTGGGTGACAGAGTGAGACTCTGTCTCAAAAAAAAAAAAAAAAATCGTAAATTAAAAAATAAGTCAAACCATATAGAAAGTTATGAGTTGAATAGTAAGTCCCTTATACATCTTTCAAAATATTTTGTTTCATTATACTTTTCGTTATACCTATTTGTGTGACTTAACTATTTCATAACTAATTGAAAATAAAAGTCATCTTGTCCAACCTCTCCATTAGCTCCTCACAGTAGGAGATCTCTCCTTGATAACTACTTGCTTTCACATAATGGGAAATTAGGTCTGACAAGGGTAACCTTGGGTTATCATAATGACGTTTCTCTCAATTCCACTCCATGCTGTTCCCCTAGGCTACCAACCTGGCTCCTGCAGACCCCAATGGCAAAGCAGACCCTTATGTGGTGGTGAGCGCTGGCCGGGAGCGGCAGGACACCAAGGAACGCTACATCCCCAAGCAGCTCAACCCCATCTTTGGAGAGTGAGGCTGGGCCCTGTGGGGTGGAAACGGGGTAGCTGGAGGAGCATCCAGCCCTGTGGCCTTGTGGCAGCTGGCCTAGGGATGGCAAGGGAATGGACAGGGGCTGCTGACAACGCCACCCCCTCCCCAGACCACCTCCTGGAGCATGAAAATGACCTCAGCCCCTCTCCCTCCTTGCCAGGATCCTGGAGCTAAGCATCTCTCTCCCAGCTGAGACGGAGCTGACGGTGGCCATATTTGATCATGACCTCGTGGGTTCTGACGACCTCATCGGGGAGACCCACATTGATCTGGAAAACCGATTCTATAGCCACCACAGAGCAAACTGTGGGCTGGCCTCCCAGTATGACGTGTGGGTCTGGCAGGGCCCACAGGAGCCATTCTAACTTTCTGGCCAAACACATTCAAGCTCACATTCCCTTTTGTGTCTCCAGATCCTATGATTTCATGGAAGGGGACCCTCCCACCCAACGCCACTGCCAACCAAGACAGCTCAGTGGTCAAGACTTGGGCTTGGGAGTGGGATCCTGTAACGAATGCCACTTGACCTGTTTTTTTTTCCTTTTTCTTTTTTGAAATGGAGTCTCGCTCTGTCTCCTGGGCTGGAGTGCAGTGGCACTATCTCGGCTGATTGCAACCTCTGCCTCCTGGGTTCAAGCGATTCTCCTGCCTCAGCCTCCCCAGTAGCTGGGATTACAGGCGTGGGCCACCATGCCCAGCTAATTTTTGTATTTTTAGTAGAGACACGGTTTCACCATGTTGGCCAGGCTGGTCTCGAACCCCTGACCTCAAGTGATCCGCCCACATCTGCCTCCCAAAGTGCTGGTATTACAGGTGTGAGCCACCACACCAGGCCCACTTAACCTCTTCGAGCCTCAGTTTTCTCATCTGCAAAACAGAGGTAATGAGATCAGTATCTTCTTAATGGAAGCACCTGGACTACATTTTTGATTTTCGATTTTCATTGTTATTGTAAATGAGGACTAACCTGTCTCCCGTTGGGAGTTTTGAACCTAGACCTCATGTCTTCATGATGTCACCCCTGCCCCAGGCCCAGGTGTGTCCCCACACCAGCCCCAGCTGATGCATCTTCCTTTTCTGCCTGCAGGGATGGTTACAATGCCTGGCGTGATGCGTTCCGGCCTTCGCAGATCCTGGCGGGGCTGTGCCAACGCTGTGGCCTCCCTGCCCCTGAATACCGAGCCGGTGCTGTCAAGGTGGGCAGCAAAGTCTTTCTGACACCGCCGGAGACCCTGCCCCCAGGTACCAGCCCCTTTCTGTTAAAGCAAGATGTTGGTAGAACAAGGTACAGGAGGCCCAGGTGCCCAGTCTTGTGTGCTCCCCAAAATAACCCATTGTTTCAGCAGTTAGAGGTGAATTTGGTTGAGTAAGGATGAGGTTCTTGGGTGTTAGGGAGCAAACAGTCTTTACTGGTGAGCGTGAGATCCCCCAAAGAGCCAAAGTGGACCCGTAACTAATCAAGTTCCCAGAACGCAGAGGTCCCATAGAGCGTCCCATGTAACAGAATGTGGCTGCAGAATTAAATGGCTGGAGGCTTATTCTTTTTATTTTTATTTTTATTTTTGAGACAGGATATTGCTCTGTCACCCAGGCTGGAGTGCAGCCATCTCAGCTCACTGCAGCCTGGACCTCCCAGGCTCAAGTGATCCTCCCACCTCAGCTCCCCGAGTAGCTGGGATTACAGGTGTGCACCATCATGCCCGCCTGTTTCTTTTTCTTTTGGTAGAGATGAGGTTTCGCCATGTTACTCAGGCTGGTCTCAAACTCCTGGACTCAAGCGATCCTCCCACCTTGGCCTTCAAAAGTCCTGGGATTACAGGCATGAGCCACTGCGCCTGCTCTGGTGGCTTATTCTCTAAATAGGGTCTAGGCAAAGGTGGCAGTACCTCCAATCCCACTGTCCCCTGACTGCTGGCTTTTCAATGGGCAAAAAGTTATAGCAGCTTCCCCCACTTTTTGTGCATTTCAGAGCTGCTCTCCTAGCCCACAGGGCTTTATCCGACCGAGTGGCTTCCCCAGCTTAGAGCTTCTGTGGCGGGGGAGGGAGGGAGGAGACGTGGAAACTGTGTGGAACCCTAAGCTCACACACCTCTTGTTTCAGGCAGCAGTGGCCCCAAGGTGAGTGGGGACCCTGAAGAGGCCCAGGCATTGCTTGTGTTGAGGCGCTGGCAGGAAATGCCGGGTTTTGGGATCCAGCTGGTACCCGAGCATGTAGAAACACGGCCTCTCTACCATCCCCGTAGCCCCGGGCTGCTGCAGGTGAGGAGGGCTCAGCACCCAGGCCCAGAATCACAAGACTCTCAGAATCCCAGGATACCCACCCAATCCTGGGCCCTGGGCCCCCAGGACAGCCTTTCCCCAAGGTGTCCACCTAGGTGCCACCTGCAGCTCCTGACTACGGCTCCTGTTGCTGGTCCCTGTGTCCCTGCTTGTCCTGGACCTCCATCCTGGACCACACCCTCACCCCTGACCCTAGTCCTACAGGATCCCCACCTCTGGGCACCAAGACTCAGGATGTGGGGTTCCTAACCTGACCCCCTGCAGATCCCTAATATCTGGACCTTGGAACACCAGATATTACTTTTAATCTCAACTTCCCCTTCTGGAACCTCATTTTTTTTTTCTTTTTTGA